TGAAAATTGATAAAGTCTAATTATACTTCATTATATATCACCAAATCTAATTATATATGGCCAGATATATGTATCAGAGTTGGTACGTTGCATGATGAGAAATAAATTATTTTTTAGTTAGCTCTTAATTTCCAGATTACTTAATAATTATTGACTTATTTTTAACTATAGTAGTAAATATAAAAGATAGTGGTTTTTATAACAGAAATCCAAAAAAACCAATTTTAATTTTTCTAATATAGTTCAATTTTTATTTTTCTTCAAATAGTTATTACTATATTAAACTTGAACGATATTTATTGTTTATATTAATATTTTATTTATATAAGAAAAGCGTATTATATCATATGATCTTCATTTTACATTCAGGCTGTTTGAAATGTAATTATTATAAGATACTACTCTTACATAGTGCATAGCTTACGTGAGAAGAACATTAATGTATTTATTTTTTAATTTTTTAAAAACTTAATAATAATATATATTATTATTATATAAGATTATATCTTATATAAGATTGAATTTTCTTGTTGTTAATATAATAAAAGATTAATCATAAAAAATAAAAATACAAATTATAAAGTGCAACATAATGAAATAGTTTAACATAAGACATAAATGATTCAAAGTTTTTTTTTTTTAAGATTTAAAAGACATTTTTCTAAATGTTATCCAGTCGGGTTTTTATTATTTTTCTTCTCGAGTTCATGACTCCGCTTTAATTCGCCAACTCTTTGAGACATGGCTCTTTCAATTTCGCTTCTAGTATGAGGAACTCCCTTTCTAGTTTTCCATCCCTTATTAGTAGCCAGTTGTAAAGCAAAATCTAAAACAGGTCAGAAAAAGTTGTGAGTATAATAAAAAACATTTTATAAGTGTATATATAAAGTTATAGAAAGATATTTGAAATATAGAAAAAAATTATAAATTCAATAATTTATCAACATAAAAGCTTATATTAAATTTAGATCCAACAACAAAACTAAATATTTGATTTAATTACCAACTATTTCATTTCGCGCAATTTCATTGAGCGGTTTTATTTGCAATTCTGGTTTCTCTGATTTATGAGCGCGTGGAGCTTGGCCAGTGTAAGTAGCGGTTAAATAACCGGAAGGTTTAAAAACACCAGTTATTAATCTCCGTGCTACATGAGTTGCTTGACTGGACAATGTTTTGGCTAAGTCATACTCAGATTTTTTACAGTAAATCTGATCGATTAATTTTTCCATCTATATTATAAAAATTGTTATTAAATAACACTCAAAATAATGATAGTAATAATAATAATAATAATAATAATAATAATAATAATAATAATAATAATAATAATAATAATAAGGATGAGGACCA